GCCTCACCTGCGCATGTTCCGCCACTACAAATGCACTACTTTTGCACCGCAAACCTAAGAACAGTGTAATATTTGGCCATAGCTTTAAAAAATGTAATTTATACTGCATACCTGTCCACCCCTTATCAGTGCCAACCTTATTACCGACTAATTCAGACCTTATAGGTCACCCCGTGCCCTTATAAATCTCAACGTTCATCCTACAAAGTCTTATTACAAAGGCGAAACACAAACAAATAGACGAAACATGTTTTTTCTTGTATTGAAACAGCTGTACGAAGGATGGACCTGACAAATCAATTTCCCTGTTAAAGAATACGGGTAAACCGTATAGCCTAGGTCATTGGTCTCAGCCTCGGGTAATTTCGGGTCAAATATTTGGTGACCTCATTTGAAGCCTTTATTTTGATAAATGAAGTTTCGGTATAATGAATGCTGGATTTGCCATTATTTAATATATGACGCTAATAACTTGTAAAATAAAACACATAAATAAACAATAAATGTGTCAATCTGCGGTGCTTTTACTAAATAAATAAGATTACAATTATAATACTGAAAAGAAGACTTGGGCTGGTGTACTTGAACTGCTTTATTCCGTTGTGACCACTCAAACACCACAGCACTACTCATCAAACCAACCCCATTCCCTCCGTTTCCAATCCGTTTTAAACCCCTTCACCAATCACCGTTACCGTTCTCCAATTTCCCGCTCTATCCTGATCCGCTGTCCGCACCTATCCGATCAGTGTCATCCATTCACCTATCAGATTGCGTGACTTGCACATTAGTGCTCATACCCCCGATCTCTATTACCTGCCCGAGCGCACCGTGTGCGTGATGTGAGTTACCCCTGACCCCCAACCCTTCCCTGGTGCATCCCCTGTGTACGTGATTTATGTGTGTGATTTTGGGTGCAGAAGGTATGTGTTGTTTGTGTGAGTGTGTGAGGATGGCAAAAGCAACCCCCTACCTCCTCGTTGGTGCCGGGCGGCAATGCTGTGGTGGGCAATGCCGTGGGGGGAGGGCCTATTTAGATTGGCCATTCCCCTCATGTTGTTGGTAACCACCACAGCGGCCAAATAGGAGCTCTGGACGGGTGTGAGGGGCTGGTAACCCCTCCACCTTCAATTAATTACCACAAAAGCACGACTGAAAATTGTAATTAATAAGCTTCTGCCAGGGGCCACGAGGGGACAGGCGTCTATGACGTTTCCTGGCCGAACCCCATTTGGCAGAGCCAAGAGACTGAATCTTTACCCTCGGGTCTCCTCCAGAAACAACAAAAACCACTACGGGTGGCCACGTGGAATGTTCGAACGCTCACTGCGGAGGAAAGTCTGCCACTCCTCTGTCGGGAGCTGGACAGGTACCCCCTAGATCTCGGTGGTATTCAGGAGGTCCGGCTCTGGCTCCTGCCATCAAGAGGGGTAGACAGTCCTCTACTCGGGACAGGAGACTACCAAACAACAGGGAGTGGCTCTTCTTCTGAACAAAATAATGAAGGGAGCGTGGCAGTGAGGTGTGGGAAGCTGTAAACCCCAGGCTACTTTGGGCTCGTATTCCCATCAACCAGAGGCGAGGAGTGGTGGTCATGGTTATTTATGCCCCCACCGAAGACGAACATCCGTGGAGGGATGCAGGCAAGGCCGATGAGTCAGATTCCTTCTAGGACCTCCTGTCACAGGTGCTGGCTAAAGTGGCCCCTCGGTATAGAGTGATCTTGTTAAATTACGTCAATGCCCGAGTTGGTCATGATGCTGGCACCTGGTCTGGAGTGATTAGAAGGCATGGGCCAGATCAGCTCAATAACAACGGTAGGAGGCTGCTAGATTTTTGTGCAGCCCATGGGCTTGCAATTACCAACACGCTGTTCCGGCATCGGCGCATCCACACACAACATCATGGATGCATGTCGGGTCCAAGCAAGAACATCTGCTGAACTACATAGTGACGTAACAGCGGATGCGGGCCCATGTCCTTGACACCAGGACCTACCGTGGAGCTGATCTGCCCACTGACCATTAACATGTCATCTGTAAGATGCACCTGCCATGCTTCCACTCTGGTGGTGGGTGTACACCCAGAAACCCCATTCAAACCCATAGTGGCATGGTCTCAGCTAGCTGATGAAAGTTGCAAGCGAAAATTTCATCATGGCTTGCGGCTGCGGTTGGCATCGTCCTCCACTCCTACTGATGTGGAGGGGAAATGAGCGAGATTTAGGACTGTGGCTCAGCTGCCATGGCTGCTTTGGGTTTACGGTCCAGACCTCCCCAGAGACCCTGGCTGACAGAGGCGTTCAGGCTGGCTGAGAAAATGCGACAGGCCCACTTTCATTGGCTACAGCATCCCACGTCCTAGAATGAGGATACTTACACCGCAGCCTTCGCTCGGAGGTTCAGAGAGCCGTGAGGCGCTGCAAGGATGGGTGGTGATCACGGGTTGAGGAGATGGAGTCTGCCTCAATGGCCCGCGATCACAAATCGCTCTGACTCCATTAAAGTAACATGCAGCGCCATACCTATTACCATAATTAGGGGAAAGAACGGTAATCCAATCTCCGACCCCCAGGAACAGGTTTGCTCAACATTTGTGAATTCGTGGGAGAGGAGAAATCCCTCAGCCTGGAAAACGTCGGATAAAGTGGGGATGATCCTGCCGAGGCTGCGGTGCCTCAAATATTAGAAGTCACCCCCTGTGAGTGGCCGGCTGAGGTGCCATCTATTGAGCAAGTTGTGAAGGCGATCCAGAGTCTGAGACCAGGAAAGGCACTAGGCAGAGATCTCCAAAGCGAAATGCTGAGGGAGGGTAGCATTTGTGCAGAGACTGCCCTACATGATATAAGACTGGACAGGTTCCGCAGGATTGGAAGGATGCCCTGGTGGTCCGCACAGACCAACTACAGGGCATCTCACTGCTCAGTGTGCTGGGAAAGGTTCTGGCAATGATTATTCAACATCGCCTTGCTAGGCACACTGAGAAGAGGCTTGCGGAGCCCCAATGCGGTTTCAGGAAAGGGCGGTCCTGCACAGATGCCACATTTTGTCCGTCTGCTACAGCAGAGATGTAGGGAATTCCAACAAGACCTACACCTCTGCTTTATCGACCTGGTCAAGGCCTATGATACCATCAGTAGGCCTGGGTTCTGCTTCGTGCTTTGAGTCCGACCCTCTGCTCACGATCATTAAGGCCCTTCATGATGGTGAGTGGGCCCAGGTAAAACTACGTGGCCGGGAGTCAGAGTCATTCCCTGTACACCTTTGGGTGCGACAGGGATGTCCTCTGGCTCCCACATTACTTAACAATTTCGACCACGTGGTCTAATCCAAGAATGACCGTGAACTTCGAAGGGCTTTGAAACAGCCAGGGCAGCATTTGCCAGAGACGACATACAATGCTCAAATGTAAGAACACAGAAAGGTATTGTCAGTTGGGAACTGCATTTAAATCAGCTCAAAAAAGAAGCCACCTAAAGACGATGCCAATGGACATCCTGACGGAATATGACGATTGAGCGCTCCAAGCAAGCCATGTTGGGCAACGTGATATACAATATCACCTCACAAGATCAGTGGTCAATTGGATGGCTTACAAGCACTGAAATTTTTTTTTTTTAAGTTGTGCAAGGAACAGATACGCCAATGCCATCGTCGTGATAAAGCTGTTAGTGCTTTGGAGCAGTCACAGCACTAGAGTTATGGACACGCTGCATTCAATTTAAAAAGTTCGTGCGCAACGGATGGAAAGTTGCCAAACCCTCTTATGGGCGAATACCTAAAAAACGGTGAGAATAGTGGAAGCAGTTCACGATCTACAAAACAGCCATGATTAAGCTTTTGTAACTGCAGAATCCACACTTTGGTTATTTCGGTAAAGTCATTAGGTAGAAAACAATATAAAATTACAATTCGATCACCGCACATGCGGTCGTCAGGTGGAAAATCCAGTGGAACTGCTGCAATCGAAACGTCATGTTATGGTTTCATTTAATTTTTCTACCTACGCGACTTAACCGAAAGAACCAGAGTAATATATCCATGGTGCCATACGAAATGCGTGGCTCGATTGAGCAGAGGTTGAAGCGGCTTAAGGATAACCCTAATGTCTAGAAGCTTCTGTTTGGTGATCTAATGCAGCTTCCTCCAGTGGGTGGCAGTGTTCGAGCAGCCATAAAGAATGCCAAACCCATGTGGCAGGTCTAAATGTGCAAGCGAAGGCACAACATGCACCAAGGAGACACGGTTCAAATACAATTTCTAAAGAAAACGTGAGCAAATTTGTCAAGTTGATACAAAGTACTTCAAAATTAAATTGCAATCAAAATATGCAAAGGTCTACGATCAAAGCCACAGATTGGATTGATGTTGACAAAAACCCTTTGATATGGAAAGATTCCAGACGTCAACAAAAATGGAGGCTTTCCAAAAACAGCCGACCGGTTCCAGGTGCAAAAGTGATGCTTATTACGTCAGTTGGAAAAGGACTAGGCAATGGAGCAACAAAATAATCTGGCTTGTCGAGCTCGTTATATTACAGGACATTTAATCGGCAAGGCAGATTGGAATTTGCCAGATTGAGACTGTCCAGTTCCCTGTCAAATGTTCATTAGGAACCACAAAGACGCATGCTACCACTCCTTTGTTGGGCTTCAACCGTGCAAAATCCAGTGATGCACCGTGGACTATACCAGTCAAATGTTAGGTTAAGGCGTTTGCTGGTCAGGCATGTTGCATTGGAGCAGTGCCATTACTAGGTTGATCGAAATTGGAAGAATGCACCAAGCGTCCCGTCCCCCCCCCCCCCTAAAAAAATAGTCATTTGTAGGGCATATGCCTTAAAACACATTAGGTGGGATACTTTACAATGTCCCCGATAAAGTACCACCTGAAAAAGATGCCTCAAAAATCATGGCTGTATGCAAGGAACCTAAAATGCTAACCATTCCAAGAGGAAAACCAAACTCAATTTTGAAGAATGATAAGCACAAGAGGTTATGGTTTGCATTTATTTTGTAAGCAATTCAGTATTTACATCACGATGCAAAACAGTGTTCAACCTTCACATTTCATGTTCATGAACAGCTTGTGCATTTACAAGATTTTATGTAGATGTAGTCATAAAGTTGAGATCCTCCAGTGCAAGTCAATGAAATCCTCATACCCTCAGTTTCTAGGTCATGGCAGCAGTTACAGGTGTACACCGGTGCCATAGATGGGACGTCAAGTCTGTGAAGACAACAATATTACAATTCTCAAGTGCAAATGTCAGTAATGTATGAACGATTAAATATTTAAGTGCTGCTAGCACTTAAATTCCATCACTAGTCCTATGGTTGCAGTAGCTCGCTACATTTCCTCCTCAGTGGTCCGCCTGCTGTATTGTTTTCACCTGAAGGCAATGGCTTGGTGTTGGCATCGAAACGTCGTGATTTATTAGTTATTGTTTCTACATGTGACTTTACTGAAAGAACCATAGAGTATGAATTCCTGCAGTTACGAAAGCTTCAAAACAAGATTGCAGCCAGCAAGTTACTTAAAATTGCCAAACGTGCCTCAGGTGTTCAGCAATTGGCCTAGTAGGATTTACCACCAAGAGACTTGCCAAGGACAGGCATTTAAACCCTATTGACTAGTAAAGAAACAGCTCATTTGAATAACAATTTCAAACTTTAAATTTAGATAAGGGCCTTAATTGTTTGCACATGTAACTTACAGCTGTTGAAATGACGATCAAATACTTGCTTGTGCAGCATTTTAGAAGTTGTGGTAATTAAGTCTAAAATGTACTGGTCACTCACATTGTCATTGACGAACAGTTCCCCTGACAGAAAGGCATCGATACGTTTTTTGGTTGACATCCAGGCAAGTTGATCTCAACGTTTCCCTCAAATAACCGACAAGGAGACTGCAGAGCTGTTAAAAAGGTGAGAAAATCCAAATTAGTGAAAATGTACAAAAGTTGATCGAGATCAAGCGAGTGAAAGCGAACATTAATTGTCTCGCACAACGAGTCTGTGTGCAAAATGTCAGCTCGATTGGATCACGGGAAGTGGGTTAAAAAACGACCGAAAGATTTGCACGGTCGTAAGCAAGCGAACTTAATATAAAGAATTTAAAGGTGAGAGCCTCTTACGACGACAACTTGAACAGCAGCCATATTCATCCTTTACCACGGTTCCCTGAAACAAACAGGTATATTGTGCGTCAGTTAGAATGCATCTTGGATTCCAGAGGCAGCTCATCTAAAATGATCAAGTCTGTCCAACCACGACCATATAATCTACACGTGCTCTGAAGGGCCATTGCCGCAGATTATATTTTGGGCAATGGCCTTCATAGTTTTCCTTTTTTGGGTACGTAATTTGCATGTGGATTTACTGGAATTAAAGGTTTCACCTATCACCAACTGAAGACAATGTTATACAAATGCACTTCATGGGTTACAATTAAATTACGCGTCCCAAGTTGCCAGGACAAAAACCTCCGAAATCATTCATGGCAATATTCATAACAAGGATTCTGAAGATTACATGCATAGTGAGCATACCAATAGGTTAGTATTGCTGGGAGTGTTACAAACACGTTTATATAAAACCAGATGGTTACTTACAGGTTGGCAAGAGCTGATGTTAATGGCTGGACTACAGCGGATCGTCACCTCCACAACAGAAGCCTGCCCTAATACACTCTCGCATGTAAAGCGTGTGCAGTTATCACCCGGCATTGTCCAAGTGGCATCGATCTAAAAAAAAGTAAAGATAAGGTTATAAAGTCTACTTTTAGGAACACAAAATACTGTAGTTGGAAGATCAATCCATCAGGCTTGATTAACTCGATATTTAGTGGCATTTCAGGTTGTATATTTGCATGCAGTCCTTGGATTGCCACCGCTGCCGAGAGCCTCCCCACACCATAGCGGTAAGTGGCAGCGTATAGCGGCTTTCAAACACCGAGTCAGGAATTAAAATAGGTTCTCAGGAGGGATTCACAAGTAGCAAGATACCACTAAAAAGGAATGTACAATTTTCAACTGGTATAAAAAGCAAATCGAAGGCAGAGCTCTCAAACATTTCAAAATAGCATTTTTGGTTGGAGGCAAGATAGTCTCCGGGCAGAAAACTGGATTAGGGGTCGTCAGATCATAGATTTGAACTGCAGTCGTTCCATCCGAGCAATTACCATTCTCGTGGCTGAATTTGCAAAATCGAACATTCGAAGCGGCGCATCATGCCGTTGCATGGGAGCAGCACGTTTGACCAAGGTCAAAAAGCATCATGACGGTTGCTACCAGATTGCTCAAGCTCTACATACAAATTGAAGTTGTTTTAATGTCTTGTATCTGACATGGGGAAGTTGCAAAAATTATATACCACCTGTTACTATTAATGCAGGCTATATAGTCAGTAAAAAGGCAATAGTAAGAATACCTGAAATGCACACATGCTTATGCGTGGTCAAATTGGCACAAGCATCGACGACCATAATGCACACATTTTGGCTTGTGCGCTACATTTGGGATGTTACATCTTTTGTCTGATAAAGACAGAACCCACTTGAATTATTGAACATTCTGCATGGCTACATAGAAGGCAAAAAATTGAATTGCATGGTTGGCTTTTGAACCCAAATGGTGTACCATCTACACCAGGACTGCAATGTGTGTGAAGTGTGCCGCAAGTGTTCAGACATCGTACTGATTCGGTTAGAAATTAGCAGTTAAAAAGCAGTGGATAACACAGCCGGTCACATCAATTGTGAACTACATTTAACCTCACCTACTCCATGTACGTCTGTTTGTAAAGTGTATTTTTATGTATCAGATTTCAATCGTTGCCGATGGGGTAGGAGATGTTATTTTAATTGTGTGGCATGGATTTAGATAAGTTGACGGTTTAGAAGATGGTGTTGCCTTATGCACTGACATGGGATCCTAACTTAAACAAAATATGTATGCAAGTAAATATTAGAAAATGGAGAAAGACCGTCAATTTTAAAGCTACGGCACCTTCATCTGGAAAACGAAAATGGACCAGTGCCCTAGGTCGGATGACCGACCAGCTCGGCACCTGCAAAATGCACTTCAACCTTTTAACTTTGATCTGGATGCGACAGGTTTGGGTGCAGCCTATTTCAATAAGCAAAAAATTTAGCAGCTGCAATCTAAAAACAGGTAGTTTTAAATGTCATGGATCAGATTTTGCACGGAACAATCGCCTCTTGCTTTTCCAGAATGGAGAAAATGAAGCAAACCAAAATCTCAATTGGTGCTCTTTCAAAGCCCACTTTTTAGGTAAGCAAGTGCGATTGACCACTTCCACACTCAAGTACGATACATCCTGGTTGAAAAAGCTGTTATGTCCCAGGGCCATACCACTAGACTTGGCGATTAGAGAATCATGTCACTTACACCTTTAATATTAGTTCAACACTATTTAAACTTTAAAACAAGAAACTGCAATACAACATTACTTGAAACGTTTAATATTGCCCTTGGTCACAGGGTCGTATGCATTCATTAATAAAATGGGATCCATTTGGAAAGGTTGTCGAGACCATATAACGGTTATTGTAAACCTACATGGTAATAACGACCGTTGGAATAGCAGCCAGGTTGGAGAGAGGTGGATTGGTACGTGGTTGGAGGGCTGCTCGTCGTGGGCTCGGTTGTAGTTGGGCACAGTTCGAGCGAGGCGATGAGGATGCACGTTGGTGAACATCTCACATAGGAGCACCAACCGCTGGTGCCATTAGCTATGTACACAAGGTCACCTGCAAGAAAAATGGCAAACACATTTTATCATCGTGTCAATGAAACCATGAATAAGAAACAGAAAAGGGCTTTAACTTACCAGCATTCAGAATCTTGCCTCCAAATTCACATGTGCATGGCACGCCTGTGGGAGCAAAAAAAAAAAAAAAAGAGCATTTTACAGGATTACTTTTGCAGTTGTCAATATACCATTAAAGTAAGCATATGGGAGGGTTCATGAACGGCAATATCTTGGTTGGAGGGGAGGAGCAATAGTAATACGGACAGTGCTATTGGGAAGTTAGAGCCATGAGGGCAACAAAAGGTGGAACTAGTCATAGGGCCTTCCTAATAAGGCCATTGGCAAAAATACCACGAAGTATATTCTCAGTTCATAAATTGGGAGTGGATAGAACGACTTTAATGTAAGATGGAGTTAACCACCATGCAAAGCGATTGAATTTTTTTTTTACATAAAAGGACTGGATTACTTTGAATACTTTTGGTACCACAAACCCAATTGGAATGTGATTTGTCAATGTCAAGCTCGTGTAGTAAGATTAAGCACGAGTGGAAAAGAGAATGTAGCAAAATCAGGTCGTTGCAGTTATGGGAGGAGTGGACATACGTGGCGTTGTCGTTTCAGTCATGGGAGTAGAGGTAGGTGTTGTCGTTTCAGTTATGGGAGTCGTGGAGGTAGACGGTGTGGTTGTCGTTTCAGTTACGGGAATTGTGGAGGTAGACAGCGGCGTGGTCGTTTCAGTTACGGGAGTCGTGGAGGTAGACAGCGGCATGGTCGTTTCAGTTATGGGAGTCGTGGAGGTAGACGGCGGCGTGGTCGTTTCAGTTATGGGAGTCGTGGAGGTAGACAGCGGCATGGTCGTTTCAGTTATGGGAGTCGTGGAGGTAGACGGCGGCGTGGTCGTTTCAGTTATGGGAGTTGTGGATGTAGACGGCGTGGTTGTTTCAGTTACGGGAGTCGTGGAGGTAGACGGCGTGGTTGTCATTTCAGGTTATGGGAGTCGTGGAGGTAACAGCGTGGTTGTCATTTCAGTTATGGAGTCGTGGAGGTATACGTCGTGGTTTGTCTCAGTACGGGAGTCGTGGAGGTAGACGGCGGCGTGGTCGTTTCAGTTATGGGAGTTGTGGATGTAGACGGCGTGGTTGTTTCAGTTACGGGAGTCGTGGAGGTAGACGGCGTGGTTGTCATTTCAGTTATGGGAGTCGTGGAGGTAGACAGCGTGGTTGTCATTTCAGTTATGGGAGTCGTGGAGGTATACGTCGTGGTTGTCTCAGTTACGGGAGTCGTGGAGGTAGACAGCGGCGTGGTTGTTTCAGTTACGGGAGTCGTGGAGGTAGACAGCGGCGTGGTTGTTTCAGTTACGGGAGTCGTGGAGGTAGACAGCGGCGTGGTTGTTTCAGTTACGGGAGTCGTGGAGGTAGACAGCGGCGTGGTTGTTTCAGTTACGGGAGTCGTGGAGGTAGACAGCGTGGTTGTCATTTCAGTTATGCGAGTCGTGGAGGTAGGTGTCGTCTTCCTGGTGGTCGTTGCAGTAGAGGTAGGCGGTGTTGTCCTCCTGGTGGTCGTTGCAGTGGAGGTAGGTGTCGTCCTCCTGGTGGTCGTTGCAGTGGAGGTAGGTGCGTCGTCCTCCTGGTGGTCGTTGCAGTGGAGGTAGGTGTCGTCTTCCTGGTGGTCGTTGCAGTGGAGGTAGGCGGCGTCGTCCTCCTGGTGGTCGTTGCAGTGGAGGTAGGCGTCGTCCTCCTGGTGGTCGTTGCAGTGGAGGTAGGCGTCGTCCTCCTGGTGGTCGTTGCAGTGGAGGTAGGCGTCGTCCTCCTGGTGGTCGTTGCAGTGGAGGTAGGCGTCGTCCTCCTGGTGGTCGTTGCAGTGGAGGTAGGCGTCGTCCTCCTGGTGGTCGTTGCAGTGGAGGTAGGCGTCGTCCTCCTGGTGGTCGTTGCAGTGGAGGTAGGCGTCGTCCTCCTGGTGGTCGTTGCAGTGGAGGTAGGCGTCGTCCTCCTGGTGGTCGTTGCAGTGGAGGTAGGCGTCGTCCTCCTGGTGGTCGTTGCAGTGGAGGTAGGCGTCGTCCTCCTGGTGGTCGTTGCAGTGGAGGTAGGCGTCCTCCTGGTGGTCGTTGCAGTGGAGGTAGGCGTCCTCCTGGTGGTCGTTGCAGTGGAGGTAGGCGTCGTCCTCCTGGTGGTCGTTGCAGTGGAGGTAGGCGTCGTCCTCCTGGTGGTCGTTGCAGTGGAGGTAGGCGTCGTCTTCCTGGTGGTCGTTGCAGTGGAGGTAGGCGTCGTCTTCCTGGTGGTCGTTGCAGTGGAGGTAGGCGTCGTCTTCCTGGTGGTCGTTGCAGTGGAGGTAGGCGTCGTCTTCCTGGTGGTCGTTGCCAATGAAGTTGAAGGCATTGTGGTTGTACCTATGGTTGGACAGGCACAATACATCATGTTTCCCCAATGTCATTACAATACTTACAGGTGCAAAGGCTGTTTTGTTGCTTTCATCAGGGAAAAACTCCGACCATAGCATGTACACATTATTTTATAGCCCCTCCCCCCCCCGAAAACAAGTTTGATAAGGAAGAGGTTTGCTTACAAAGTTCATAACCAATAAGACCTTGAAGAACACAAATCAACCCTCGGGTGATATAAATGCGCAGCATAAGGTTCTGCTACAAAAAGGATGCACTTACTGATTTCAGGAATGCACGAACCATTGCAACGTATGTTTCCTTCAGGACAATAGCAGCCTTCTTCATGTTGTATGGTAGAAACGACACTGCTGCAGAATCAGAAAACAGACAATGTAATGAGGACAGGTATTTGAAAGGTTTGTGCCATGCAAAGTTGGGGGGAGGGGGGGGGGAGATCAATTACCCGTTGGAGCAGGACTTCACAATCTTTGGACCTTGTGGCATATACTGTCCGTTAGTGCAGTTGTAGCCTAGAGGACCATAAACGAAGCAAGGATATAAAAGTTTATAAAATGTAATAAAAATGCTTTTGAAAATCAAATCTGAAAACATTGCTGGGCCAGCGGCAGATGGCACACTAGCATTGTATTAAAACAGAGCTGACAATATTTTGCATTCAAGATTAATGATCAGTTACTACTCAAGATAGAAATAATGAATATTACCACAAGTTCCATTGGTGGCATTACGCCAGTCAACGTTGTAGCCCAGTTGGGCACACTTTTCTGCTGCTGCTTGAATACTGGCACAACCAGCCTGTGAGGAATTCACTAGGCACAGATCATACTTGCACGTGAACAGGAACTCTTGCAGGCCCACCACCTTTGAACAGTTTAAAAACATGCTGCAGAGGGAAACAGGGAGGTGGAAACAGCCTTGAAAATCTATTGCCTAAAAAGCAATTCAAATGCAAGGTTGTACAAGGGATCGCGCAAAGGTTTGGGAGGACCCAATTAGGAGTCACGTGAACAATGGCTTGAGTAATGAATGGCCCATCATTTAGAAGTTCCACTGGTAACAATTGGTTTTTGAGCACATGCTGTGTTAAGAAAACAAAGTGTACATGCATCACCATTGGAATCTCATTTGCCAGTAAAAAATATAATTGGTTTTTTACCCTTTTATCTGGCAACAAAACTGACACCTTTTTTACAAGGAGTTATGTTTGCATAGACAATACCTGCAGCCATAATGCAAACAAAAAACACAACTCTGATAATATATGCACCGTCCTTGAAGTTGATTGGTCCACACCCGAGACAGTTTTCCTTAGAGGTTCCAATGGTGTAAATGCTTACCGAGCTCTCATACGCTGATGGTGCATTGTCTTTGAGTTGTGCGCCTTTTGGCGTCATCTGGTCCAACACTATGCGAGACGAGGCTCTAAGAAAAGCTGTCTCGGGTGTGGACCAATCAACTTCAAGGACAGTGCATTCAGAGTTAGTGTTTTTTGTTTTCATTATGGCTGCAGGTATTGTGGGCTATGCAAACATGACTCCTTGTAAAAAAAAAGGTCAGTTTTGTTGCCAGATAGAAGGGTAAAAAAACCAATTATCTGTACATACATCATTATAACTACCCTGAATATTATGCAGCTAAATTGTAGGGCGGCTGCAAGCGTCGTGTTACCCACGATTTAGTTTAAAATGGACGTAGAGTGGATAATGTAAAGAAAGTTTGGGAAAGGTACATTTCATGGACAAATTGTGGGGGGGGGGGGGGGGGGTGGCAGAGATATGCATAAGTCATTGAAAAGCATAACTATATAGGACATGTAGTGCAATTCAGACGACTTGGATCCATTACGTGCTGTTGATGGCGCCGCACACCGACATGTTCATGTTGCACGGAGGCGGCGTAGTCGAGGGCGTGCAGCTCTGGTTCTTGCTGGAGTTGAACATCGAGGGGCAGTGAGGCTTGGTAACATCAGGTATGACCCAGCTCGAAGCAGTGCTAGGGCAGCACGACGTAGGCTCTGCGGTGCCATTCCGCCAGGCACAATCATCGTTGGGGATGTTGTTGCAAATGCCTGGATGTAAAGGCAGAAATATTGTGCATGCGTGGCTAATGCTAGTCTCCTCAATTTGCGTCTAACAGGACACGCATTGTTTATTTCTGTAGTGACTGGATGGCTATGTATTTACATTAGTTGAATTGATTAAAGCAGGCAAAAGGCATTAGTCGGAGTCAAGACACCCCATTGCAAAAATGCTAATTAAGCATTACATTTTAAGGCATACAATTTCTGAAAATGTAAAAAAACTGGCTGTAGCGTTTTAATTACATACGTTATTCACCTGTTCAAGTTTGGCATTCCAATACCTAAACCATGTTTAGGATGGGCACAAGTTTACATTGTCATCTACTTTGGATGCAGATTAAAAACCAATTGATACTTTCCATTTGGCACGTAGTGGCAAAAGGCACCTAGAGAAGAGGTAGCAAGTGTATAAACAGATTTAGGCGATCATGGCGTGGCATGACAACTTACCACATTGCCCTTGGGTGTTGTTTTTGAATAAATCATACGGCAAGTAGATTGAGAACATATCTCCAGTGAATGAGATGGTTGCATCTATGGCAGGGATGGTCACCTTCACCAGAATTCCACTGGAGGTAATGTCAATTCCATTCGATGACAAGGGTGGCGTCACTAGTACGTTGTTGTAGTATACCTTTGAAGAGCAATTGCGTAATCATTTTAGCAAACAGCTATTAGCAGCGTCAACTGTACATACAATTAAACAAGGATACACATGGACCTCTTACAAGCTTTAGAGTCAGGTGGGTATTAGTGGTGCCAAACGGAGTTGTTTGCAAGCAATTCAAACACGTTAGACATTTGTTACAATTTATGTTCCCACACTTGGTTGTTAAAGTAAATGCAAGCGTCAATTGGTAAATCAGAAGAAACCGTACCGTGATGATGTTCTGCCTTCTCCCCAGAGTGGCTGGGATGCTCATGTTGACAGCGTTCCCATTGTAGTTGACAACGAGGCCCCTGACAAAAGAGGCTGGGTTTCCACGGTTGAATTGATAGTTGTCGAGAAGGATTGTAAGGTTATGTTGCTTAACCCTTTCCTCCACCAGGATGTAAGTGCAGTCCTCCAGGAAGGTGTACCGAACACCATCAAATGTGATGTAATGGGGGTCTCCCCATCCCTGGCATTTGCCTTTTTGCAATTTCAGACAGAAAAAAAAGCTCATTAAAAAGAAACGTCATGGTCAAATACACTAAATGTCAGCATGGTCCTTCACCATCTGGAATAGATCCAGTGCAAATATTCATTGGAGGACTAACATGCTTGGATGAAAAGACCACTTCGTTTGTGGTGGCAAACAGATGTACGCTCTGGAAAAAAGGCAGCTATGTAATAACAATGGTCATGTTAGATTATAGAGCATTTTTTCCTCCTCCACCTTGTCAAGAAGGTACAGATCAAATTAGCAGGGTGCGTGGTGGGGTCATCGCATGCATGGCAAATGTATAAGGAGCCCAAAATCTAAAGCAATTTTAGGTGGGGGTCCTAGAAATGTAATTGCATCTAAAAAAAGATGGAACAGGAAGCAGTTTAAAAAGAAGTGCCAGATTGAAAATAAACAGGACCCTGCGGGGTGGGGGCTGGTAGGCACGAATAACCAAAGAATATAAACATAATGTATTACTACACTTGTTTAGCCAGGAAAGCCCCACTGAGTCTAAAGGTTTCTCTAGGGTCCTGCCAAGTGTTTGCAGTAGGGGGCGATGTTGCTACACCTAATCGGACGATACGAAGGGAGAGTTTGAGGCCTAGCTGGAGGCTTTATGGCGCTGGGAGTGAAATTTTATAATTTAAAAGTTAATTAAAAGCTATCTGAGGGAATTATAAGGGAATGTTACACTTGTTTAGCCAGGAAAGCGTCACTGAGTCTAAAGGTTTTTGTAGGGTCATGCTAAGTGTTTGCAGTAGGGGGCGATGTTGCTACAGACAGACGATATAATCTGTTGTAGGCTGGTCCACTTCGTTCCTACCAGTAACAGGAGACCTAGCCAAAACAGGTTGCTGGTGGTGTTTAACCCAATAAAGCAGTGTGCATAAAGCAGCATATACTCACATTGGCACTGCCATGTGCAGCAACCATCGCTGTCAGAAACACTGCGTACAAAGACACAGTTGGGCTTTGTGGACTCGCTGCAAGTCTTCATAGTGTAGGTGACGTTGTTGTCGATACAAGTGGCATTCTTACAGTTGCTCACTTTCCAAGTCTCCATATGCTGGTGAATGGAAATGCGATGTATAAATTAGGACCAGCATTAAAAAAAAGGGTTCTGTAACGAAAGGCTATGTTGTGGGGAATCATTCCAAAAAGGATGCATTATAAAGTATGCAGTTGTACAAGTCGAATCTTAAAAAGCACGGTGACATTTTGAATGCCAGGCTCCGAAAACCCCCTGCCACAGACCAGTTAGTGTTTTTTCAATATCGTATTATCTCATCAGGAAATATTGTAGAAATGGGTCTGCATGCCACGTACCTAGCAGCATGTCTATTTAGTATGGCAGTGCTACAATCATTTTAAAAAGGCAGCTTAAAATATGGCACCGTCCATGTACAAGATTGTGGTAACTGAAAGTCGGGCAAGAATTAACTGGGTGGGGCAATTCAGTGTTCATCCATTAAAGCAAGCACCTATCCTATAAAGTGCACCTACCATTAAAGTTTTCCTAATTAATGCAACTGCAGAGAGAAGCATGGTTTTATAAAGAGCAATCCCATTAATTTAAGCCATCCCAGTTACCTGCCGTGGAGGGACAAGGGAATAACACCCACTCCCTGTGGTGAACGCAGTCGATGATGGGGACGTTGCTGTCGTTGAACATAGGACAGGAGGAAAGCCAGGTTAAGTGCCAGCTTGGGTAATTTTATAAAATTTGCATCAACTGGCCAGATATGTTTGGCCCTTTGCACTGCATCAAGGCTAATTTTATACAAAGCATGATTTTCAAAACCCAAAAGGAAATACCCAGCTACGTGCATATGAAAGTAAACCATATGCTTGAAGGTGAACTTTTAGGATACGAAATGTGCCTGGATAAAAACCAGAACCGCTGAAAATAACCACCATTTAAGTTGACATGTATTATGGCATTAAAATGCATTCCATCACAACTATTGTATAAAGAACATCTCGCAATGTACATAGCCAACCGTGCTAAGTGTGGCGTTGCACTTGTTCAAATGGAGCAAAGCACCGATTAATTTGGGCCAGTCCACACGTTCTGCATGTGTTCATAGCTACCTTGCACATGGGACAAGTATTTTGGACCTCCACTTGAATAGGCAATGCATGCATTTTCAAATGCACCATGCATTTTCATTGTCAAGTACACCGAATTTTCCATGTTATACATTACGTAAAAGCACCACTCGTAAAACCTCAAATTAGTCCATTGCATATTCCTGTTCAAGGCAGCTGTGATTAAGGATCTTCTCATTGGGCTGGTTTTAGGGCAATGGACGGCCCTGTCAGGAGTTAAATTGTTACCTGTGATGGTGGGAGTCGTGGACGGACACCTGGTGTAACTGCCAATCACGCCGGCATCGGTACATATGCCCGTGACGTTGCACAGCGAACCGAGATTGGTGTTTGTATAGACGATGTCACCTGGTTTGTATTGGTGCCCATTGTAGATACAGCAGACTACATGCAGGAGGACAAGCCATGGCATTATAACTTCAATTAAAAAGCTAATTGATCAAGTAACGTTAGTGTGTTGTAATTACGAGTTGCTTTACGACATGTGCGTTTGTAATCAAATGTGTTGTCATTACCACATCGTACAATTTAAAGTTTGTATACTCTAGAAACTCATTTTACAACTTTAACACTAATATATACTCACCAGCAGTTGTAGAACAGTGAAGCTGCCCCATGGTACAGTTGCTGAAATAAATAAAATTGTTAAAGTTATTGTAAATAAATGAGACCAAAGCAGTTGCAAGATATCAGTTTGGGAGGCACTGGTCAGTAAAGGAAATGCATCTTTGGGAGGACATCGCTAGTGGTGCTGAAAGTAGATGGACAAGACTGGCAGTTGCAATGGAAGCGAGGGAATGTCAAGACAGGTGGAGCAAAGGGATAAACGTGTGGTACGAGAGCTTTGAGGTCATTGTTGGGAAGTCATGCAGCAGTATATAGATCAGAGATGTAAATGACAAGCGGTCAGACTTATCTTCAGGTCGAGTTGCACTGTACACAGCATGGTAAGAAGGGATGCTTACCATATCTGGCACGTGTCCCTGCTCACGAAAGTATCACCAGGAAGGACTATCGTGTCATTTAGCTCACAGCTGCAGTTCTCCCTCGACACGCAGTGCAAGGTGCGTTCATCCAGGTATGTAGCATTTGAACATTTAGGGTAGCAGCCTGTAATGCAAGACAACGTTATTTGATCAAGGTTGTATACGTTGGTGAAATGTACCATATTACCAGATGCAAAATAAGCTCTGCATTAGCACTATTTGTAATTAAAATCTACAAGCCCAGAAATTGCACCGAGGACCAGCCAAGAGAGCATCGAGTTGCAATATTATGGCCATAACCGAATTTTACATATAACGTAGTTTGCACTGTAGGCAGCTTTCCATGAAAAACCGATGGTGGGCAGGGGACCTAAAAAATACAAAAGCAGTTATCAAAGCATTTCACCCCCACCGACATCTATATTTGAGTGTAGCGCTAGCAGCTCCCGTAAAAATCGCAACCAAGAGCATCCCAGACGGCTGCAGAAGTGCATCGGAAAGCACGCGATGGAGCGACTGGTGGTTAGTCAAAGGCCGCTGCTTAAAAACAAACTTTGACCGAGATGGCGTGATTGTTTATGCTCCCGAGATCAGCAAGGTACTGTGGCAAGCACTTGCGTAAAAGAGTGCGAGGCATGCATTTGTTTCAACAACGTTGGTAATCCCCGGTGTGAAAACTGCAGGACAGTTTTGCATAAGGCAATCACATGTGCAAGTGGCTTAAAAATCCCTTTTGCCATGCAAACATTGGAGGCAACGGATCTTCCTACCCAAGCTTGTACACCAATTTGCTACTCTGGCCCAGGGACTATTTGGGCCTGAAGCCAGTAAGTGGGTGGTAAAGTCAAGACCATGCATAATTAAATCAAGATTGTTTAAGTCGAATCTATTTCATATAATGGAGGTGCAATGTCTAGACCTGGATGAGGTACCAAACAAAACTGGTTCGGTCAATTGAAAAGCCTGTGCATGTACCTTCAAGCCTTGGGAAGTCACCCAGGTTGATGCCTTCTGGATCACCACAAGTTTTGGTGTCGACACTGCCACATGGATGGTAGTGCCAGGTGCATGTGTTGGGGTTATTATAGAAGTCACAGAAAACAGCTGGAAAAACAGGAGCGAAGAAACAGGGTGTCATCTAGGAGCCAAGGTTAAAATGAAGCGAGGCAAAGTTGGGTAAACCATTTTAAAAAAGGTTGGAATGCTCCATTCATCTTTTTAAAGTCAAATACGTTTCAAAACAGCATTGTTAGGTCAGAAGTTACTTCACTTTTCCAGACGTGCATGAGGCAAGGGTGTTGGGGAGCATACACCAAGACCGTGCACAGTTTCAGGCATTCCAGTAAACCCGCATGAAGTTACTGGAGGCTTGCCAAAGGTGAATTGTAGACATTGGCCATGGTTTGTGGCCAACCCCTTGAATATCCATGGGAGGTTCTCCATTAGAACACAGGGTCAACCCAAATATTTATGAAAGATCAGTCTATGGACTCTGGCTTGTTGTCTAGCAGCTTTGTCCAAGCAGGAAAAACGCACCACATGGGAGGGCACATTGGACAAAATGGAGATTCTATGCAGTGCATGTGTATTTTTCAGGCACTCACGGCACAAGTCTGGGGTCCTCCAATAGATGCACAGGCCAACCTCATTGCATGCCTCTGCATAGGCAGCCACTACCGTGCAGAAGAGCGCGCACTCCAAGCCAGTGTCGCATGCACACGAGTCACGTACACAGGCCTCGTAGTATGGCATGTAGTCCACCTTCCCCACCACCACAAGGGTGGCATGAAAGCCAGACATTAACACGAGGTAAACATTTCACTTTGCAAGGCGCTTGTGTAAAAGGTCATCTGTAGTTTATACTAGCAAAAATTCAAGTGAACTTTTAGGCGTACACAATTGCATTTATGGGGACAAAGGCTGCAGAGGAATACAACCAATGTTGCAAAGAATAAATTGAAATTAGGTATAATGGACTTCACCCTCCAAACTCAGAAATTGCACAAGCCGAGCAACCACGCCACAATCAGCGAGTGGCAAGTAAAGCATACCTCTCCGTGGCACGATGCAAACATCCCACTGCTGAGGAGGCTGCACTGCCGCTCGGCAGACACCTTACGGTTAAAGTTCAGCACACAAGGAGGGACTTCCTCAACCATATTCGAGCACGTCTCGTCGGCCTTCCAGCTGTTCCCAAACTGAAGCGCATTAGCCGACACCGAGTGGTCCCGCATGGTGAAGTCGTCAGACACATCTCCGTTGTACTTTCCACAAAGGCCACACAGCTCATTCTAGGAAGGGATCAATTTCGTCGCATTAGACTACAGTGACAAAAATCCCAGCAGACCAATGGCAAGAATTTAGCAGTGTATATGTTAGCAGCACATTTTGGACACAATGTGCACAGAAACTAAGCTTTTTGTACGGACGTACAAGCCTGAGGTGCATGTGTAACTACTGTATTTGTATGCCTAAGTTACGAATGAGTGCATGTCTCAATTGCAAGATAAAGGGCATCGTGAAGACCATCTTCCTAAAATAGAGGCATATACAGAAATGGAGAAAAGAGTTGGTAATTACAGAAATATTTATGGCTCACCTTCCTGTCTGGAGTGACCTTAATGAACAGGGTTGTCTTGCGGTCCCATACTAGTTTTATTCCATTTGAAGCATCGACAATTAGGTACAGCCCAACAGAATACACCCTAAATCTGTGTGTGCTGCTAATACTCCTGGTACTGGACCTGGGAGAGAATGAATAGGTCCCATCTGCCAATTTTATTTCTTGGTCCTGGGAATAGAAAACCACATTATAAATTTCAGAAGCAAGAATTAGGCAACTTTAATGCGATTTGAATTACGAGTGCACAGGTCTTGCCTGCAGGAAGAATCTTATGGATTTGGAGCAAGTGGACAAGGTATTGCCACACAGTACGTTCTCCACGGCGATCTGGAACGTTCCATTTTGTGGACTGGTGCCACAGTAGTCCTATGAACGAAACAAAATGTCATGTGTAGGGACTTGTTAAATATGAAAAGATTTGTGGGTCTCATTAGGACCCTGTGGGGTTTGCTGGTAGGAACGAATAACCAAAGAATATAAACATAATGTATTATTACACTTGTTTAGCCAGGAAAGCCCCACCGAGTCAAAAGGTTTTTGTAGGGTACTGCCAAGTGTTTGCAGTAGGGGGCGATGTTGATACACGGTCGGACGGACAATATAATCTATTGTAGGCTGGTCTACTTCGTTCCTACCAGTATAAAGTTCCATACCTGCACCACTACGTATTCACAGTAGTGTCCATTAAACAAGAAACTCTTTCCATCAAATGTGGAGTAATGGCCATTCCCAAATGTCTTGCAGACAGCTGCACAGTAGTTCTTGGTGCAGTTCCAGAAACCATTGGAACAGTTGCTGAATGGAAATAAGAAAAGAATGCATTATGTAGTAACAATCACGTACCCACAAATGCCTAACCAAGTCAACCAAGGCAGGATCACACAATTGATGTTTGGCCATTACCTACGAGGTTTAGTATTTTGGAAACACTATGGAAGTCTACATTGACAGCTGCCATTAGCAACACAGCCCCAAGGCTAATTGGTGGCCTCACACTTGACTACCGATCACTTTGCTCAGCCAGGGGGGCATTTTAGGTATACCTTCCCCCCCCTCCCATGCACATTTAGTGCAATTGAACCTAAGTTGAATGTAGGTTAGTAGACGAAATCGATTTTATTATTTAGGCTATGTAATGATATGGCCATAAAAATGGGTTCAAGACCTTCGACACAAAAATGGTGTTTTGGGAAGTTGAAAGTTAGGAACTTCAAAGTCTAACTTTAGTAACAAGAACAGAGTAAAGGCTTGGGACATTTTAAAATGCAATTAGGTCCAAACCAGTAAACATCCCTCAAACCCAAGGAATCACGGCCAGTTGTAGATGTAAATGACAAAACGTCATTACATTTAGCGTTTCACAACACCCACTAAAGCAAAAATGTTTATTCCATAATTTCAGTAAGGCCAAATATACGTCATGTTTTACTACAGCTCAATTGGCCAAGAACGTTAATCTTGCATACACCATCATCTCGTGGCTTTGAGTCTCATTGTAAAACACATGAATAATCTTACCATTGGTTGCAATCAACTTGGATGGAATCCCCAGGTGCATATGTAATGCCATTGTGCTGGCACGGGCAAAAACGAGGTAGGACACAGGTGCCATTGCGATTCTTCACAAGGTCCTTTGGACAAACGCAGCCTGGATAGCACCGTACGCCGAGCTGGACATGGGTATGCAAACAACAAAAATCGGGTTTAATATTCAGCACTTCAACTATACTAGCTTTTATACAAAAGTGGAATTCTTGTTAAAGATATTGGTGGTCTTTTCATACCAGTCAAATGACACCACTACTAAGGTTAGGTCCAAAATGGCCATGATTACGAAAGTCCAGAAGGTTAGGTCACTACTGAATATAATATTTGGGAACAAAAATGGCAGAGCTTAGTGCACTGCATAATTCTGCAACCCAGTTGGCCTATAGTTTGAAGTGGAATGGACGCATCTAAAATATTGGCCTCTGGAGATTGAAGGCTTAAAATGAATATCCAAGTGCAAAGTGTTAATATCAGCAATGGGTAACCCACGTGGCCAGTGGCCCCTCATGGCCACAACCCTTGGCAATAGCCTTTAAAGTGTACTCGCGTGCCTCCCCCAAAAGACTGCACTTGTTTTAGGTCCCCAGGAGATATGTTGTAGCACCATACTAGCCAAAAAGCTGGCAAAGGTCTGAAGGTCGGTTTTTGCGCATGTGTAAAAAGGATATTTAAATGACCACTGAAAGATGAGGCCCCTATTTGTATGGTTAAAACATCTGCAGTAGTAACAAGGGCAGCCTAATTAAACCAACTGTTGTAACAAGCAGACTACTTCTAGGCCACAAATGAATAATTTGGGCACAGACTTACACATGGGGGTTGCTGCAACTCGCAGGTTCTCTCACAAGCCTTCCCATAAACACCACTCTGGCTGTTGATGCAGTCGGTATAAACCATTGGGGGATTACATTCTGTTGAGAAAAAGGAGAATTAAAACGCCATGAATTTGATCATGAAAAAGCAAATGGCAGCAAATCATGAGCCCATATTATTCTATTCTCACTCCATGAAAAAGGGAGCAAAAAACAATTAACATGAAAGTGTTAGTATTTGTAAAAACGCAAGGTAATACAAAAGTCTATTTCAACAGCCAACAATTAACTAGGGTTGTGGGAAACGCCCCTCAGGTTGAAAGCCTCAAAATGGCTTGAAGAGCCTTTGTTAATCTACAAATTATTGAAGGGCTGCAAAATGCTGCACACTTCTGGTAAGATTTACGATAGCCCATACCTGGGTAATCTTGGCAGCGCAGTACTCCATTCTTACAATAACTGAAATGGAGGAATGTTTAGGTTAAGCATATAAATTAACATTTGCATCAACGTCAAATTATAGCCCATATAAAAATGGCAGCGACACATTCTCCAGCAAACAGTACAAGTGTATTGCCTGTGCCAATTCACATTGACGTATTGCAGGCCATATCTAGGTTTGCTTGTAGGATGTTATGGTAATCTTAACAATGTACTCTCATGGCAATTTGTAGACGTGTTGTTTTAGATTAATAATGTTCTTGGCATATGTATCTTAGGAATTAAGTCCAGCCACCCAAAATCGGAGTTGTGAACTCTGGAGGGCCAAGCTTAAAAATGGTGTTTCCCCTTGAAGTGATGTACGATATTTCACTACAGGGGTCTGATAAGAATTAGAAAATGGAATATTTCACGGCACATCCCGAATATAAACAAAGACTGCATTACAAGCAGGGCTGTTCGAGTAAAGGAAGTATTTTAGACCAATTGTTTGCAAAATTTCTGAAATGTACAAATTGAACACCGCCTATTACGTACACAAGCTAATTTTCATGAAGGACATGGACCCAAGGTGAAAGCAACGTTACATGAACAATCGTATCAATTTGAAAATATGGTCTAACGAGAACATTTTTAAAGCCACAATGTACAGTACAAAAAGGTCAAGCTCTTTGACGATGGTAATGTATGTTTTTGCATACATTTTACATAAATGCATGGAGCTTTTGCCCAACGACTTGAGCTGCGTCGTAGAGCAGCAAGGATAAAGAATTCAGAATTATAGAGTAGTGGTGTAACCTTCAGTTGTACCAGCATGGGACTACAGGCAGTTGATTCAGTACAGCAATTACTCGCTTAACGTGGAAGAAAACCACATTAAAACTAGGCATTACTGACCATGTACAGACATTGCAGCGTCGCTGACGAAAGGCCATTATATTTGTGATGCATTTAGTTGCCATAACCACGTGACATCTTGGGAGAAGTCTGCACAAGTGCCTCAAGCCAACCATTAAAAAATGCCTAATTCTGACGTAGAAAAATTCTAATCTCTGGCAGCAGAACACCATTGAAAAATACATTTTAAACTTGGGAGGTCCGTTTTGAAAAGGTCTTTCTGGGATTTAACCAACCATTACGTGTCTGCCTTCCCATAAGATGCCACTCATTCCCATGCCATAGCCACTGCAGTCCTTCCAAATATTGGTTCAGAACTTTAAATCATTAAAATCAAACTGAAAGTGCATCTTCATTTGGTGCAGGGCAAGAACATTATGGCCGTCGACAGTGGGACAATGGTTAAGCTTTGTACGTACCAAGAAAGACCATTTATGTAGACAAATGCACCTGGTTGAATCTTCTCGCCATTCAGGAAACAGGGACAGCTAGCCACAGAAATACATTTCCCTTGGTCGTCCGCATACAGCCCCCTAGGGCACTGGCAACCTTCCACAGGCACATCAGTCACGGTGCATGCCACATCTCGGTTGCTCAGAGAGCGGCACGTTCGTTTACAGCCATCACTGGCGTAACTAAATAACTGGTTCTGTAGACACCCCACCAGTGAATCTGAAAGAGAAAGTCAGTCATTCCATTAGCGATTTAAAGTCAATAGAGTTTAGACGTCAAATAAAAAGCAGGCAAGTCATGATATTTTTATGCACATGAGGAATTGCCGAAATCATAGCAGACTTGCCAGTAAAAATATGGAATACAACTGGCCTGCCGATTGTTGCCAGCCTTAAGAATATGGAAGTGTAAAAAACACTATTGTTGCAACCCTTGGAATTGCCAGGATAATACCAATTAAAAAATGTGAATCTCTGGAATGCATTAGAAATGGACTAAAGATTCTGGAATTGGATGGACTGGCTCAGAGTGAGGCATCTCAAAGCAATGCAAAATCCTGGGTCTTACCAAAGTGCACTCATGGCAATATTAAGGCCTGATAATTAGTGTGTTCTGAGAGTCACCATAAAAAAAGTCAATTTAAGCACTTTCAAATGGACTGGAGGTTGCGCCAAACAGAATGATATTCATTTCAAATGAAATAGAAAATGGTGGGCAACTGCCCATGCGATTAGGTTGAGAGCTGGTCTATTGTAGAACCCATCATCTACCCCCAACATTCCAGACATTTTTTTATTGGAAGCAATATTCTTGACCCCCCAAATGGTAGTTTTGAGTACAGCATTACCAGTGGCTTCCCTCCATCCACGCAGCACACGGCCTTTGGATGCACAGGCACGGGCATAGGCAAACTGAGTCTCCGTCACACAATCCTGGCCTGCTGGGCAGCTGCACGCATCTGATATGCACCTCTGACCACACGGTAAAGGACGTAAAGCTGCAATTACTGTACTTGCCCATACTATTACAGAGGGAATGGGACCTCCCGGAGCAGTAGAGCCCCTTTCTCAGGCAGTCATTTTCTCCAATGGCCAGACATGCAAGGCGAGAATACACTCTTCGACAATGAAGCGAAGTGTCGTACTCATTTATAATTCGGTGGACAAGAGGATATGAAAAATGCACCCATTAAAAATCGCCATGGCATGGATGTTGAGCCAAGAACACATGTATTTTAAGACCTGAAAATTAAGCTTGCCAGAAACTTCTGGATTGCCACCATTAAGCAAACGCATGTATTAGTTGCAATTAATAAGCGCATGCAATATTTTTTTAATGAAGCTCATTTAAAAAAGTAGTACCTTGTAGTATTTGTAGGGGTCTAGCAGGTCATGGCACTCGGCAAAGATTCCAGGTGCTCGTAGAAAGGAGCAGTCGCGCTCGGCGCTTTCCGCTGGTGAAATAGAACGTGCAAATGTCCTTACAATTAACGATGGTTACTATAGGTGGTACACAAAGCAAACACTGAAACAATTTGTCTATATTTGCATAAAGGTTTAGGAAAAGGCAGATTCTGGAACTCTGCAATTAACCATTTGAGAAACCGATGGACATCAGGGTAAATAAGAATAACCTGCACAAACAAAGTTTTTCACTATAAATCCTTTATATGCGTGGTGGCTACAGTCCTCTCGTCCTCTGGCGAGATGGCTGCCACCTATGGGTCAGATGATTGCATTGCACCATTAAGCAATTGGTAATTAAATATAATATTTTTGTACTATAAAGTGTAAAATTTTGGAAAAATGTTCACGAACATCAATTGTCACGCACAACGAGTCTGTGTGGAAAATGTCAGCTCGATTGGATCACGGGAAGTGGGTTAAAAAACGACCAAAAATGTGCACGGTCCTAAGCAAGAACTTTATATAAAGGATTTAATGGTGCATCAGGCAAATTACTTTTTGCCCTGGGTTTGTATCCAAGCTTGGCCAGTTCATTAAAAGCCAGAAAACGCCCAATTCCAAGGCATCTTTATTATATCAAGGTTATGCACATTAAATCTTCAATAACGTGGTCCTTTTATGGAACGCTAGACGCGCCAATGCATTTCCTTCACACATGCTTACAAAACAGGAAGGAATTTAAAAGCGTGAACTACCTATGGCCATGTTGAGTAGGCATGGATCTTGAACCATTGTATCAATGTCCTCACAATCAGAGCTTGCCTTCCAGGAATTGGCAAACACAACAGCTGTGCCTTCCACCAGCCCCTGGCTGGACATGAAGTCATCCGTAGCAACTCCATTGAAGTTTCCACACAGCCCTGTTACACATTTGGTGCAGATGGTAGGTCAGAATAAAAAATGGTAAGTTTTATCCAGGTGTAATTTATGTTAATATTGTTTCAAGAAGCATTCTTACATTTGTGAAAGACCTGCACAAGATTACCTTTTGTCTGGCCCCTAAATGCTTCAGGCAGTGTGATATACACTTGCATGCTGGGAGAGATCTGCACCTGCATTTTCAGGCCAAATGACGTGAACACTTGTAGGAACATTGAAGAAGTCTTATAAATGGTGATTTTGCCTGCAACATTGGAATAAACATTAGCACAACATTACAAATTTCCCAAGAGCCAAAAAGATGCAAAGAACCATAGTTCACTGGTATAGCCTTTTCATTTACCGGACTCGTGAGGCAGCGGGACAATCATTTTAGAAGACAGGACGTCACCATTGTTTTTGAATTCATAGGATATCTGGTAATGAAAAAACAACATTAGTTTCAGTCATAGGAGGTGAAAATGCAGTTGCCGCCTGGTTGATAGTCCATGCCGTATTAAGGGCATGCAACCAACGTGAAAGCACGTAGACGACCATTTAAAAAAAAGCTATCGCGATTGTTTGAATTCGCCATTATGGAGAACCACGAGAAGATTGAAACCATAAACAGTTTAAAATTGATTTTAAATAGCAGGCGCCATTAGCAAGCATTTGTTGAAGTGCTATAAACAAGAACAAGGTGGCCACTGCAAGCTATTGGCACCTAGAATTAGCACACTGCATGCCTTTAACGTCCTGTTATTTAGGCAACACGAATACTTTTTAACGGTGTAGCGTGTTGTACATACCGATTGAGACTTCAGAGTTACGCTCTTCAAGCAAGCTCTTTCAACTGGAAATGATGAACATGGTCGGAGTAGAACTTCAATGACCCAATCAGCGCTCTGGCAAGGCAAATGGATTCCATTAGAAACTGCACAAAATCATGTGCAAGTGCTTGCATCACTGCAAAATGGCCACCATGGACAGGCATGTCATTAAGAATTAGCAGCATATTTGAGTTGATGGCAAGAACACAAAAGTCCAAGTTTATATTATAAAGGACGTAGGAAACTGCTGCAAATTTCACAAGCTGGATTAGGTCAGCTTGGTTATAAGAAGAGCACGTAAAAAAATCAGACCATTTAACAATGTAAAAAGTTATCATGTGCAGGATGGACTTGGCATGCTCGCTACTGGAGGGAAAGTCAATTATTTTCCATAACCTCAATTTTGGATATATTCTTAAAATACAATACTAAACTTGCACAAATGTATTATTTTAGTAGACACTGCAGCCGCATAAAATATTTAGGACCTGATGAACAAATGCAAGTAATGTTTTATTTGGTGGAAACCTTACAATTTCAGATTAGATACTTTCTACAGCAACTGCCTAGGAAGTCAATTTACGCTGGTGAAAACCGAAGGCGGTTACTTTGAATGAGCACGTGGAATTGTTACTTTGGAAAAGGATTGTTCTTGCCAACCCTTGTGCAAATGCTCAACAGCAAGAATTCGTGCAACAAACAGCAGTACCATGGAAAGGTAGTAATAGCAGTTTCCATTGAAGCGGAAAGACTTGTGGTCAAACGTGATGAAGTTGGAGCCACCCTCCAGGGAGCAACCATCAGCACACTGCAGGGCATCACAGCTCCATTGGCCAGCCTTGCACACACTGCAATAGGATGCCATGAGTTGTGGCAACAATTTGTTTAAACAAATTCGTATTCCACATCATTGGTTTATAAAACGCTAGACCAATCTAGATGTCAAACGTGTTCCGCTTAGCAAGTACTTGGTTTAAAAAAAAACTAGTTAGGTGGTGTCCCACAAAAGGAAGTTTAAAACGCACCAGCTTCGACAACCCTGTTGGGAAATGGCACCAGGGCTGTACGCGTCTCCATTCAGAGTGCAGTTGCACTCGCTCAGCAACACGCAGGTAGTCCCATTGCTCACGTTTAGCACAGAGCCTGCAAAACAAGGAGAGGTTTAAATCGTAACATGTCACCATTAGGACACCAAACCGTGAATCAAGAAGCTACAAGAATAAGCAGTGCATGGAGACATAGGAAGATTTTAGGTTGCAGTTGAGCAGCTAAAAAATACGAGAAAAGCAGATGGCATGGTACACAAGATGGCGAGAAGGCAAAGATGGCAAGTAAAAGGATCCATATCCAACCAGGGAAGGAGCTCACCGTCTTGTTACAAACCAGGTGGCAAGGGAATTTTTAATAAAAGGGTGTGATTAAAGATCAGACTTTTGATTTTGCATGGTTGAACAGAATTGGAGTTGACATTTGGAAAAATTATAAGTTAATTCATTTGTATGCTAAAAAAAGTTCACGAATAAATCTTTCTAAATCAAGTTAAAAGCAATTCAAATGAAACACCATACAGAAACGAGATGTCACTACCAGCTCTTGAACATAAAACCAAGCAATTGAAAAGAGAAGTAACGCCATCTGCAAGCATTTGAAACTAACAGTATAGCAAATGGAGAAAGACGCCAATGTCTACCATAGCCCAACCACATGCGGTTCACTGTAAAAAAAATATCATTGAATCATAAGTTTAATATTGCAGGCGCATGGCTCACCAGGTGGACAAAAACAGCCAGGTACACAACCCTGGCACATGGGCTGGAAGGGGTTGGCACAGGTCTGTGGGCAGGTGGAGCCACACTCCTCGTATACAAGGTCACCAGGACAATTCTGGGGAGCTTTGGGTACAAAAGACAAGGCAGTGTGCATTAGTCATAAGCAGCAGATGGCATGTCAAAAATAGGACCCTGCGGGGTGGGCTGGTAGGAACGAATAACCAAAGAATATAAACATAATGTATTATTACACTTGTTTAGCCAGGAAAGCCCCACTGAGTCAAAAGGTTTTTGTAGGGTCCTGCCAAGTGTTTGCAGTAGGGGGCGATGTTGCTACACCTAATCGGACGATACGAAGGGAGAGTGAGGCCTAGTTCTAGGCTTTAGGGCGCTGTTAATTTTTAATTTAAATGTTTTAATTATTTATGTAAAAGCTTTAAATGTAAATGTTTCTATTTAAAAACATGAGGGAATGTAACATTGTTAAACATTAACTCCCTTTCACACGCGCGGGGGTACGATACAAAGGGAGAGTTTCAGGCCTAGCTCTAGGCTTTAGGGCGCTGCGAGTAAAATTTGAATTTCAAAGTTTTAATTAAAAGCTATCAGGGAATTATAAGGGAATGTTACACTTGTTTAGCCAGGAAAGCCTCAGAGTCTAAAGGTTTTGGTAGGGTCATGACAAGTGTTTGCAGTAGGGGGCGATGTTGCTACACGGTCGGATGGAATAATCTATTGGTGGCTGGTCCACTTTGTTTGTACCAGTATCCTATACAGGCTTTACAGGATTCATGTCCAGGTTCGCTCTTGCAGCATTACCTTTGAATAGGCCAAAGTTGAGACTTGAACACAACTAGGCCATGTTATATGCATCATGAGAGGTTAAATATCCCCATGACGTAACAGGGGGTGAATGATAATACATACTAGTACAGCATTTGCATGTCTCACTGGCGATTTATCTGAAGGCACTATAGACCCCCACCCCCAGGAACGTTTACGTACCACAGAGGTTCGACGTGCGCCAGGAGGCCAAAGTGGCACCTCCGATGATGCACTCGAGTGAGAAGGCGGTGAGCGAGGGGCAGCCACACATGGTTTGGTTTTCGCAATGACACTGCTCGTGCATGCACATAGCCACGAAGCCAGATGCAGGCACGTCACATGGACCCATGCGCTGTATTGCCAAACTGCAGGTGCTCCACATCTGTGGTAAAGTGCAGACAGAAAATTTATACATCGGTGTAGCCCAATGGTTAGACTTACAAAAATTCGTTATTACATGCATTTCGGTTTGGTCTTGTTTGCTTACTATATTGCTAAAAATAGTGTTATATTCTTTGGAAACCAAATGCATTAAAATAAAACGGTGTTATTTGTTTATGTGCATCTTATGGTGCAAGGCCACTTTTCCTTGCCAAGCAGCTTGGGTCAATCTTCTGTCCATGCCACCAAGCGTTGAAAACGCACAACTGTTGGTAGTACCAACTGTTGAGTACCAACTAACTGTTGAGTACCAACAGGTAGGAGGCAGACGCGGCAACTGCTCCTCCCAGAAACCAAAGCATGTAATCACGATATGCGTCAGTTTCTGGTTTGTAAAATAAGTACACCACTTGTTTTTAGCGGTTTCATTCTCCACGTTGATGCAAAGTCTACGGTTTTAGGGTTGGAAAGTCGCAAGTTGTAAATCTTAGGAATGTACGTAACATTCTGGAGCCTGATGGGAAAATAAAGTGGATACTCCACAGTCAGGTTTCAACAAGGCAACCCTCAAAGTTATGCCCCTACATTGAATATCCGTCCGACTTTGGGGAGAGGGGGGGGGTACACTGGGCAACTCACCCAAGGTTTGGAACACGCTGTACTCTTCACCTCACACTCCTGGTTCAGTCTCTGCGGGTACTCGTATGCCTCCAAGTCAATATTCTCTGCACACGGAAGCATTGCATTTAAACTAAACCTTGAATATACATTAGCCATGCTGCCCCCATGCAGTGGATTAACCACAGCCGACCGCTTCTTTCAGGTGCAAGTTCAGTGTTCAAACATGAAAGTGCCATTATGTGCAGTAGATATGAAATTGGATATTTGAATATTACCATAATTAGCACTCAGCTCTTTTTGCCCATCAAAGTTTCCGCAAAGTCCACACATGCCATCACGAGCACCTCTGCCAACCACCACCTAAGGCACATGGTCGGTCAATTCACAACAGCAATTGAGCAAAAGATCGTGAAAATGAATGCCAGTTAAAAAGGTAGTCAGAACCGTCACAAAACCACAACATACCAACAAGACGTCTTGGGCCCAGATAATCTTTATACCAGGATTGCGTAGGGTGATCTTGAGTCCCATCCCAAACCGAGTGATGTGTAGCCGAGTGTTGATGTAAGGCACCACCACGCTGGTAAAATATAAAAGTGATTTCCAGGACATGGAAAAAAGGCGTTTAAAAGTTACAGTACACAAAAGAGCATGGGTGAATTATTCCAACAGGAGACTACATAGTATTATCATAAAATGCATTGGACACTGGTAGAATAGTTAAAACAATGCAGTTGCTGTATACGAGTTAAGAGTAAAAGACTGCACGATATTTTATGCAGGACCATTACACCAAACCACATACATCATTGGCAGCCTATGAGCCCGACAAGTTAAATTCCAATATCATTTCAAGGTTTCAACTTCCCCTCCCTCACCTTTGTTGTCCAAGCGATAAGATTCCATCAGATATCTTCACCACATCAGATTCGGTTTGGATCAAAATGCTAAGGTAGGCCCCATTGACGCGCGTCACCACAACATTCAACTCCTGGAATGGCGACCGGCAATCCCGGGCAAATGTATAAGAGCAGTTGGACTTCAGTTGAAAGAAGGATCCATCAAAGGTCTTCACAAAGCCATTTCCCCACGTGCTGCACACACCCTCTGAAGAACCAAAACATGCGTGGTATAGTACAGGAAACCTGAAAATAGTTTCTCATATTGCAATCGGATCCCAATTTAGCCGTAGTTTTCCCTCCGCTTCTTTGTAGCGAAAATAACCAAATTGGGCAAAACCGTCATTGGTTAAGACTTCCCTGCACACAAGAGTCAATCCTGCGAATCAGTTATTCATTTTCTGTACCGATCACTTGGTATCCTGAAGTCGGGGGTACAGATAAAATGGGAAAACTGCGCAACAGCTGGGCATCCAGCATCACACCCTTAACCTCGTCACCATGTAAATCTGGTGTTACACAAATTAATGTTTAAGGTAACGGACTTGTTAAATGCATGTCCCTTTGCAAAGGAACTACAAACTTAAACATGACAAATGGTTCGACACAAAGGGAACCAACAGGTACTTTTAAAACGTCAGTATTATAATTAACAGGCATGGTCGATACACCCCATTTAAGACAAAATAAAGTTTGCCACCTTCATCAACGAGCACGCGTTTCCAATGGGCGATTAAATGCATTTCCATAGCTAAAGTGTAAAACTCAAATTGCACCAATTTATGTCAAACGGAATGGTAGGTGGCGTGATGCAGGTTTGACGAAGATTCCAGCTGGGAAAAGGGGTGCTTAATAAACATACCAAAGAGTAGGGCTTCAATGCAAGATCATGCTACTGTAGTGGATAGGTGACGTCTTGTACTCTTATTAAAGTAGGGAGTTAGCATATGCAAAAAAAGTCGGATTTTTTGGGCAGTAAATGTGCCGAAAATTGGGGTGTGGAGATAGCACTCAGGGTGGGTTTGAGCGATAGAAAAACGCTTCACAAAGAACAGATGGCAACTACTTTAAAATGGTAGGCACTTCAGACTGGAATAACCTGTAGTGGGATCAGTTAGACTTTAATAAAGCAATGGATTTACAGCATGTAGGAGTAGGTGCATGTAGAGGACACCAAATAATTGGATGGGGCAAGCTACGTCCTTTTGGCCTTGAAACTTTGCCAGTTCATGCAATCTAACCTTGTGGCATTGTATTTCACGTGCCAACTTACCATTTGGAAGCACAGTCTGGTGGTCTGGAGGGTCTGCCGTGATCACCATCAGCGTCGCTGTGTCACGTGGATAAAAAAAGGACCACATTTCACGCAACTATTTGTACAAAAAAATGTAACAGCCAATTTTTAGGCCATTTTAGACGTGTACAGTACATGGTAATGTTAACGTGGGTTGACCAGGTGGGTGGGCAAGTGCAGGGACCATGCAGCAGCATTACCAAGAACACGGCACCAGCTACCCACATACGCTCAAGTTAACGTGTCAGGGTTGCTTGCTAACGTGGTGTTGCAAGTATTTGATAGTTCAGTAGAATCGATTAACACCTCGAGGTTGATCCAATTTGCAGATTAACACCAACTTTCGATTGACGTGACTTTGATTTTTCCTTTAACCAAAATTAATAATCTAAAAAAAGTAACATTTTTTTTTTCAAATTTTACACGCAAGTGTGATAGGCCAGGAGTTGCCACCAAGCAAACCTAGTTGTCAGGTTCGATATTCAGCCATGCATGAAAGGCAATCAAACTACTTGAATGCCTTTTTTTGAAAAAGGAGAAAAAGACATCTGTTGCATAGCTGCATATATAAATAGTGGTAGCCACTCTAGTAATTACAACTTGTACACGGTAATATAAAGCCCTTTATCTCTCGTCTCAAAAGCCTCTAGGGTACTTCCCAACAAGGTGGAAAATCTGGTACATTAGGAGATAACTTTTAGGACAAACAGGATATCTGAAAAAAATATATTTTATTTTAAGCCCCCCCCCCCCCCCCCCCCAAAAAAATCTCAATTTTAAGGAACCCACAAACATGTTGGCGTGCCATTCAGAAAACGTTCAAAGACAAGAAAGCGGGTTTTATAGTATTAGAGCGTTAGCCATAAAATGTATTAATTAAATAACTATTGTTCTACCTTTAATGGTTTCGGATATTTCGCATTAAAGTGGCTTTGAATGGAAACTGATGTTCAAATCCGAAAACGATAAAAGATAAGAGCTTTCTTTCAGCGCGTTACATTCATTATCTTTGGTTTTTGCTAATAAAAAACGGAATGCTTAAAAAGTGGGCGGTTTCCCATGGGTACGTCATTAAATATAAGCTTTTGCGGGAAACACATTGGAGTAGTTAGTGTCTGATCATAGATACACAAAAAAATCATATCATGTTAATCATTCTATTTTTTTTTACGTTTGTCAGGCGAAGAAGACCAGCTTCATGCACCAATACTTAGCTAAACCACGACACTTTAACTCACCTGCACAAACCAGGGCACACAGCCCTGCCCAATTCTTCATCATATCCACTATTGAGGTCGGGGATAGGAGGCCAAGCCAATGCCATCCCTATTTATAATAAAGGCTTGCGTGCAGATTGCTAATTGCCAATTAGATAAGTGCATGAGAGTGAAATGACATTATGCCTTATCTGGTGCCTTATCAAAACTAACAATAGAATTGTCCATGAGCATACATTTTCTTGCGCATGCTTTATCGTTATGCAAATTAGTCTCGTTTATATTGATTCGTGGAAGGAAATCGATATCCAGTGAACATGAGATATTGGGTCATTGCTCCAACAGTTCCCAACACATGCGAACGTTGGCCCGACGTTGCACGTCGACTAATTTTTAGATCCAGTGTCGTTTGTACGGCTTTCACCATTACCTTAGCCTGAGTGTAACATGTCACTTGCATATATAAGTCGCATACAGTGACAAACATTGACTCCAATCGGCGAATTCTCCCATGTTTCATGGGACAAGAATCGATCTTAATGAGATGCATCTGTATACCCATTTTAATTCTGCGTGTGATTTTTATTTCCTGCCAGCGTAATGTCTGCTGTTAATTGTATTGTTGACTGCGCACAGCTGAAATTAATTTCAAGTCCTCTACATTCTGACTGCATTCCTTAAACACTTAATTTAACGTTACCCGGTACAGTACATGAATTAAAAACAAAGTTTAGGCTGCATTTTTCTAGGACTCATGATGGCACCCATTCCTGATAATTTGTTCATTGTGCGTTAATAATCATAATATCACATTTCAATACCAATAGTTTCCTCAGCACTGGGATACAAATACCACCTAGGGTATTTGGTATATGGGAGAAAATCGGGAGTACGTAGCGAAAACCCACCACGCACAGGAAGGATTATACTCACCACTGCCATCTCCTGGCCAACTGGCAGACCCACGCCTACAACACGAGTGGGTTACCCATCTGAGAACATGGCTCTAGTTGTGCAGATATCAGAATGCTGAGCTGGTGTCAATGAAATCCTGGGCTTGAATCTGGGAAGCTAAATTAAACGAATGGTGTCTGTCTAGTCACGAATGACTTCACAAATAATCCCCTTGTAATAATTAGACAAAATGAACACTTTCGTAATAAATATTGGTTTGACTGGCATATAACACCAGGCTCATCCCAGAGTGTGTGGTAAAGCATGTTTCTCATTGTGTAGAAGATAAAATGGTTACTTTATTGGTTATTGAAAAGTTCTGTGACAATATCTTGCACAGCCATTCTCAAAAATATGGAGTTATTCTACTCTGTGATGTTTTTAAGTATGATGTATTGAGTCATATTTAAATTGAATTGTATTGTCAATTCTCAAGCATAGTAAAATGCAAATGCAATTTATGCACTACATGTAATAGCATTTTGCCAAATACTGTACAGCATGTTTCATATCTTGCACTTTACATCACATACTTTCAGCATTACGATTGCTTCTGAGTAATCTTTCATGGCAGAGTATTCAAAACACAAATTTAGGTCCTTGACCAATAAATAAAAAAGGCAACATTTGCCTTTTCACATAAAGATAATTCCCCAATTAGTTTTTTTCATATTAATTGGAATGCATGTCTAAAAACAGAAAGAACACCCACATTTATGCGTCGCATTTTCTAATCAAAGGAAACAAAAATTACAATGCAAGTATGCAACTTAATAAGCAGGTTTATTTATAGAATTGCAGGCACGAACACCAACATTTATCTGTGTTACATTTTCACGATGTTGTTTATGCTCACAATTGTTTACGTAAAATGTACCGTCATTGCCAAGTAAAACATTCAAAAAAAAAGATACACTTCTGACTCCTCTTCCGGCAAACTCAACACATGAAAAGCTGTCTTTGGCAAATCTGTCCCTAACCTGAAACTACAACCCCTAAATCTAATGCTAACTCTTCATTGAAACAAAACGAAAAATATCCCCAAGTAGGAACTGGAAAGGACCACTTATGAGTACGTGCAAAGATCTGTAATCATATGAAAATCTGACCTACGAGCTACAGTAGTGCCAGCGACTCGGTTTATTTCCCCGCATCTGTAGTGATGAGTAATTCCCTTATTTCTACAGTGTCACGCCCAAACAAAAAGTGGCATCCTTCAAATGAAAGGACCATGACCTGGAGTTTGTGAAACTGTATTAGATTAAATCAGTCAATTTTGATGAATGTACATGGGGTACGCATAATGTTGACCTCACTTGGGAGTGGCATTGCCACCTGGTCCACGTTTGACCGAGATAGTCAGAGAATTAGAATCTATGGGCGGCAGGAATTTATTTCTACCAAGATCTCTTGGCATTGTGTTGAACTTTATTACACTATACTGCATAGTGTGTATAGACCTAGGTCGACCGAGAAATGTCTGGGCTCAGTCTGTGGAAAATGTGGTAACCCTATTTGGTTATTGACCTCACATTTCCATGATACTCTGAAGTTGTACTGTCAAGTTTTATTGTAAATCTTTTTTTAAATCATGGAAACATCACAATATCTTGTGATGTAGTTTATTGAGACACA